TGTTTGTAAATTTATTGTATATAAATGTGTGTTATACAAATATTCCAATTAAGTTTTACGATGATGGTATATAATCAGATAATTAGTTTTGAACCAATTAACACAATTAATTTTTAACTGAACATCTGGGATTTGACTTTAAGGGCTTTTTTGTAAAAAAAAGAATACGTCGTAACACTCAATGCAATCAAAGTATGCATCAAAATTAAGGCCAATATTATATAAAAAATTTAATTTATCCGCGAAAGGAAACATTTTATCTTGTAACCCTTTTTTAATTGGATTTCTGTATCAGTCAATTCTCCAACGATGTATCAACTAGGTCAGATGAAAAACAATTGATTGATCAGATGTTCCTAGACACAACCAGTTTCTTTCAGTTTCTGTCAATCCAAGAACCGACCCGAACTCATCTAAGAAGGGCGATAAACAGTTATCAATAACAATCAACTTTTAAACAATATTAAGCATCCACCTCCTATCTAATCAAAAGAACCAAAATTCAGGTTTATATTCCAAAAAAAATTTTGTCCATACCATTTGCTAGCTGAGCTTCTAAAACTGTGATATGGATACTCAACGCTACGGGACACTTTGCTTGGCTCAATGGGGATTATTCAACGATGCCAAACCTCTTGACAGTGATGACTTCAATAATACAAAGAAATAGTAAAAATTACCAAAATGCTCCAGAAAATATGTTATACAACCTATCTTCTCAAACAATTAATAAAAATAAGGTTACTATAAAAGTATTACAGTTTCACTGTGATTTATTGAATAGGTTTATTCACATTATCACGTGTATAATTAAGCCTCTAATTATTTTTCTCTTGAAAAGGTTGGTAAATGGAAATAGGTTGTATGATTAATGACTATATGACTATACTGCAATGTAATATTACATGGTTTGTTTGGCCTTCCTGCCATTATCATGATGTTATTCCCATCATACTAGTTAATCCCACTTGTAGTCTCTTATTACAAAGTTTTTTTTATGTTTTCTTTTTAAGCTATAATTTGTTGCACACGCATATTGCATATGAAATGTAACATATGGTTTATATAACAATTTCACGAACAATGTTTTTATAATGGTCATGAGCAAGGTCCGGTGATATCTGTGAGAATCTAACTACTGAATTAATGATTACTCGCTCTGTGATCAGTGACGACTTAACATCGCAGTTGTAGCCAGTGTTGTCATTCGTTGCAGATGTACTCTCTACCAATAATTGAATGTTTTCGTCCTGGGCGGAACCTGCAATCATCTGGATTACCTTCGAAGTTGGTCAATATTCGATATGAGTGTTTCTGATTCGACCTGAACCCACCTCAAAAGTAGAATTAATCAGATTTAGCTTCTTTAAGAAGGTACCAAAAGTTTGACAGAGGCGAACTACTACAGACAATAGTACACTTTCGTCCGAACATTTATTGAAAATCACCCATATTGGAACCATCAGAACTATCATTTATAAAAGACAAATTTTCGTACTGCAACCGTCGGTAGTAAGACGATGAGTGGTATGTAAATAAAGTTAAAAGTTAAGTTGAGATCGGCAGTATTCTGTTGTGCTCGCGAAAATTTAACTTGTTCACTATTTGATTATATAGTAAAGCAATATTCACATTTCTCGGTGGATTTATATAAGTAGAAATAAAACTTAAGTGATAGTTGATCTAAAAATTTATCTTTTAAAAAATCTTCTCGGGGTTTCGTTCTTTTTTAAATAATTAGTCAGAAAGAGAAAACTACAATTTTCCCATCTTGCCTTATTAAAGAATGTATATTCTACTATCACGCAAGTCTGTGCCTATGCTTTCGTAGCATTTTTTGATACAGCCTATAATTCCAACTATCTACTACTACTACTAATACCCTCACTGAACTTTAATTTTTTTGACTCAGAAAAATTCCCAGCTAAGATATGTGTTTTTTAAGTATTCAAGTATAATGTTTCTCCATTGAATTATGGTAAGCATTCTCAAACGTTTGATGCTAATTGAAGCGAACTTAACTCATGGTGACGATGTTTCGATTTTGAGAGTCTGAATCGAACAGGTCTAAAACTGGGTTAATTGTTTATTTTATATGTATGTTGGAGAAATGTCGCCAAATGTAGATATTAGATGTGCTTAAAAGTTTGAATTCCATTGAAAATTCATATCTTTAATTCGTTCATAAATTCATTTAAGTAATTGTTGACATCATACTGAAACTGAACTAGGTCGTCAGAAAAAAAACCCAACCTATTCTAGATCTAGCCCGATAAACCTAAAAGTTCCACAAACGTATGGATGAGTTTCGTCACTGTTCAACCTTGGCGAAATTTCATCTTATTATCCCGCCCGAGGACCTAGTAAGACCAGATTTATCGGGCTAGAAGTGTTTTGGTCTTTACTATAGATTTATATGTCTTCTACGCATCCAGCCCAGGTTTATGTATTGAACCGTGCACCAAACTGAATTCGTGTTAAATATGTCATTATCGTCACGGATTAATATTGAAAATTAATTGTCATTGATAAACACCATAACATGCTTTAAATGTGTAATTTGGATATTGAGACGAAAGTCTTGGTCGAGATTTTCATAAACTAACCAAACATTTTGAAATATAGTACGTTAATATCAAAGTCATACTATTGGTTAAACAAATAAATGGGATCAGAGGCCAGGGGACTGAATAAACCTTCCGTGTATTATTATTTTACACTGCTTTACAATCCTGTGTGATAATATTACCATCTTATTACTCCATTTAAATGTTAGAGACAAATATAAGGCCAACGACACTGAACTCTGGGAAATTCAGAAAGGTATGGCATTAACTTTCTATCTTATCAAATTTTGTTTATTTTTCAACCAATCTGAACATGTTTCAGGTACAAGTACACCTAGAACTTAATAAGTGTGTATTTTATACATCAATTTTCAATTATTATTCAACCATACATGTGTTTCTCTTTCGGTACAGGTGGCCTTTTGCTAATAGATAGTACAACATAACTCTGTTTAAGAGGAAAGTTTAAAGGAAGATTTTTAAAAAAAATAGACTCCATCAAAGTAAAATATTTGTTATTGTAGTATTTGATTTTGCGCTAATGATATTAGTGTATATTCATTTGATCAGGACAAAAAAAAACAGGTATGCACATTTTTTAAACAATTAAACCTTATTCTCAGAAACGGGATTTTTTTTTATCTCAGCCAAACAGTAATAGTATACATTTCAGCGGCAAATTTGAGCCTTCAAATCCATGTGTGTCTAGAATTATTCCCATTTGAAAGTTAAAAATACGTGTCGTCTTTGCTTGAGAAACTGCCATATAGGAAAAGAAAAAGAAATTCCAAGTTTGAGATATGTTTTAAGGAATTATGCGATTTTCGTACATTTTTAGTACTTCTATTTACATGTATTCAAGACTCAAATCAACCCCCCAAAATAGCGCATCTGTCCATTTAAATTTATTAACCCGAAAAAGAAGATTATTCTCACCAGCACAATATTTGAGGATTATCACTTGTTACTCAAAATCAATAGCTTTATTAAACATTCTTATAATTATTCATTATTTTGAAAATATTAAATATTTAAAGTTAGACATTAAAAAAGGTGATAGTTTCTATTTGATTTTTGATGTTTTGAAATGATTTCCTTTCTCGATAGGTTAATACTTATAAACCAATATTTTCACATTCATGATGACTTTTGAGTATATCTTAAAACGCGGTTAATTAGTTACAAATAATTGTACCACCCTATTTTCGTTGATAGGTTTTTCAGAATGCGGATTAATACATCTGGACGTTTGTTATTGAGATAAGTTTTGTACGATTCCAGGTTATGATATTGTCTTGGGTATGTGTTTATCTCGTTGAACACACATAATTACAACTATGTACTTATCAGATGATTTCTCAATTTACATTAGAAAGTACCAGATGATCTACTTACAGTGATTGCTTCTGCGACATTTCGCCTCCGTCATGATAGCAATTTACCCTTTTAATGTGACATATTATAGATCTGATAATGCTGCTAATGAAAGCCTTGTAATTGATGCTACCTTATTAATCATATTAAGGTGTGTTTAGACAAGCCTTAATCACTAGCCTAGGTCATAGAGCACTATTTACTCTAAATATGAAAATTATTATCAGTAGATTATATTACCAAAAAAACAAAATATCGTCTCGCACCAATCCTACAATCTATTCTAAAATATACATTCCATGCCTTAGGAATTGATTTTTCTTGTGATGTAGATTATGCATTGAAAGTAAGAGATTATATCTATGATAGGGAGGTATATATATTGTTCAGTAGCTCATATCCACAATAGACGCGGAATCGCAACAAGAAGGGCCGTGTTACACTTTCACAATGAAATACCTCTAGTTGGACTACCATAGTCACATATACCATTTGCAATGGTGATATATAAGTACAGAATATGACAATATTAAAATATATGATACCAACTAATGTCTGTGTACAAATTTTGATTTTATGATAAAAAGACAGATCAAATCAAAGTTTTCATTTTTCTCATCATATTAATATTTCACGCTGTAAAGTGTTTTAGTTATTTGATCTTTGATCAATTCGGTTACTTTCATAAATAAATAAACAGCCGAACGTTGACTAAGGTTGGCAATTATAAGATGGTCTTGGTACTCAGAACTGCTGTATGCAAATATCAGTTAAACGAATCAATGCATTAAAAACTGTTCCGAATGGTAAAATTAATTATCTTTTGAAAGAGAAAAACTATTTGCTTTATTATTTATTCCTATATCGGGTGATTATTACACACTCATACAAGTCAACAGCAAACTATTTTATTGTATTGAGATAAGACACTCAAGGGATGAACTATGATATAATCAATCAACTTTGTGATGTTATGTGATGTTACAAGATCTTTGAAATATTTTTTTTTCTATTGTAGGATTCAAATGAAGAATTATGAGCTTGCTGTCGGTTACTCGAGCTATAACTGTGAGATTACTCTTCAGCTGCCATGGTTTGTTAACTATATGGAGGGTATGTTTAGTCCGAAAGAACAACAATTACTGGTATCTAGGATGTATATTATTATTATTGGTTATAGAATTATTAATCACTTTATTCAAGAAAGGTGGAAAGGAGTGGAAATGGTTAGTGCAAATTGTATTAATTAGACATAGGATCTACTTTCTACTTTTCTTCTCAGTTACTCTTAATGTTATTGCCTTGATGGTGGAAATACTAGCACCTGAAGGTTATTTATATATTGCTCTCCGCACTGCACATTGGTTCAGGTGTTTTATAGACAAAGCGCTATTTTTCGATTTTTCTGATTTTCGTTAGGGTTCATCTTTGGGTGATTACATACACTCACACCAAGTTTTGTCAAAATCCATCAAGAATTGTGCCTTGTAGAGTGTTTACGTGCTACAAATTGAACGCATTTTTAAGAACAAGAGCAAAAATTCATATTATTTATTTTCCGATTATTCTGATTTTCAATAGGGTTTATCCTTGGATGATAGTAACACTCATACCAAGTTTCATCTAAATCCGTCAAGATTTGCGCCTTCTGGAGTGTTTACGAGCTAAAAATTAAACGCGTTTTCAAGAACACGGGGGCAATAGCTCATACAATATTTTTCAATTTTTCTGATTTTCGATAGGGTTTATACTTGGGTGATAACAAACACTCACACCAAGTTTCGTCAAAATCTGTCCAAAATTGTACCTTCTAGAGTGTTTACTAGTTAAAATTGAACGCGTTTTCAAGAACAAGGGCAATAAGTCATACTAATCATTTTTTGATCCTTTTGATTTTAAATAGGGTTCATCACTCACACCATCAAAATCCGTCAGGAATTGCGCCTTCTTGAGTGTTCACGAGCGTTTTAAGAACAAGGGCAATAACTCATACTAAATATTTTTCGATTTTTCTGATTTTCAATAGTGTTCATCCTTGGGTGAGTCAAGAATTGTGCCTTGTAGAGTGTTTACGAGGAATTGTGGACGTACGGACGGACGGACCGACGGACAGGGTGACGACAATATACGCCCCCATTTCATGTGGGCATATAAAAACTAACAATGGTAACACCAGTAAGGACGTAGTTTTGTAATTGGGAAAATATTTTGAATGTTTTTAATCTTCTCTTTTAGAGCATAATATTTTATAAAAATAAATTTTTCCCTTTTCAAGAGTTATGAGTCACATACCTATGTGTACTTAGTATATGATCAATGGGAACTTACATTATCATACCTCTATTAAATTACAACTGGTCAAATACACCAATAAGCAGAGTCTGATTCGCCAAATACATATTCTAGGATAAAATTTATCGATACATCTTGTACCTTACTAACTAACTTCACCAATTAGAAGTGCCTAGTTGCATCTCTCACAAATAGTTATTCTAAGATAGAAAAGAATAAGTAGGTTTCAGACTGTGTTTATAGCTTGTAATTGTATTATTTAATTAGTATATGATAACATTAGAATAATAAGTCTGAAATATGCACCCTGCTGACAGGCGTCAAGAGGTTAGACTGGTTCTACCATTATTATAAACTGTATTTTAAACCAGTGTTGTATAGTACAAAATGTGACATTAATAATTGTGAATAATAGCAATACGTTATTTAATAATTAATATTTCATGAATTAATGAAGCTTCCCCTGTGTTAAATGGACAGACAAATACACAAGCAGTTTATATTATAAGTACATTGGTACTATTTTGAATAAAAATTCCAGAGTAATTGGTATCGAAAATAGTACAGTAGCACCCTTTCATGATTCGACCCTTATCGGGTCTTAATAAATGCTTCCACTCAAATTTGCTCAAAAATTTGTTACATATCTGTAAAGATCGAGGGTCGCAATTAATGGCATTTTATTCCGAGATCCGTGCATTTGTATTGGTTTGGAACTTTCGTAGTATTTAAAATTTTCGTCAAGTTTAGTAAATAAGGTCAATAAATCATACTGAAAAGGGCCTTTCAACAATGTCTCCAAAAGACGATCTACAAAGATCATTGCCATAGCCATAGTAGCCTACTTATAAGCAACGTTTTCTCAATTTTCTCTGATGTATTTTGAGTAGTCCATTCTTACCACTTTTCATGGATTAAAGAGTGGTTTATATGCCTCTTTGTGCATATCTCAGTCTTTTGTTAATGTACTCTTTTTCATTTAACACCAGTATCTCTAATATCATTCATTCAAATGTATCTTTTAGGATAGATACAGACTTATGTTGTTTCGAGGAAAGTTTTTCAGAAATTCCAGGAACTACATACGTTTGTGAATGGTTCTCTAATATCCATCTGCATAACAAATTAACATGCCAAATTCCAATCTATCATTCTATTTTGATAGGTTTTGTCCTAGTGTATTTATATATCTAATGACGATTGTGCCAGCTATATGGTTATTAGAATTGTATGAAATGGAAAAGAGACTAACAGATCGCAGTGTTACCAATACATCGTTACTTCTCGATCTGGCGAAAAATGAAACTGTACAGGAAATGAGTGCTGAGTTGGGTAGTGTGCTGGGAGTAAGTATACAATTATAGAAAACTCTATTATCCATTGTTTTTGTTCTGTAAGCTGAAGATATGAGATTTGTTCCACTCTATCCTTTGGATTCTTTCTTCCAGATCTCACCCTGTCTGAGATGCAGGGTGGAGTTGTTGACACGGGCTGTCTTTAAGATCGTGTAATAATCCTTCGCCCTTGGTTGGTTGAAAATTGACAAGAAAGGGTTTATGTTACTGTGCTGACATTGCAAATTCTATTTCCACTGATTCCGTGACAGACAAGGTCACGAAATCAATTTCAATACAACAACATTCAAAATATATTGTGTTTTCAACAACATTCAAAATATGTTGTGTTTTCAACAACATTCAAAATATATTGTGTTTTCAACAACATTCAAAATATATCGTGTTTTCAACAACTGTTCCTGCCTTTCTGAACCACGGCATTCGATACCATCTGAAATGTGATGCACAGGAATGTCAAAATCTGAACTAACATTTCAAATCTCAAACTCATTTTTAAATCTGACATATCTAACAATAATTTTATTTCTAGGTTAAATTTGAAATACGAATTCCTATATTGTTGAACTCTGACGAATGGATAAGAACATTAGAGCAGATTTTATTGTTGATTCTTATCATAGGAAGATGGATTTTACCAAAAGGCAAATTAACCCATGATCAGCTGTCTCAGTTGTTATTAGTTTATATAGGTACCGCAGCAGATATCGTTGAATTCTTTGAAGCTTTTAAAGAAGATAAGGTGGGTTAAAAATCTTTAAGGTTTTATTTTGCAAATTGTTATAATTTTTTTTATGATTGTTAAGTCCCATGAAAATATAAAAAGTGACACAAAAAAGATTATTCTTCTGAAAGTAGCCATGACTTAGTACATCCGGACGTACTCAGAGCTCTTTTACTTACTGGGCTTTGTGTGTGATGGTCCTGTTTTCAAGGGAATAAACGCGATGAATTATAAACTTGCTCTAGATAGGCCTACTTCCACTTTTTATTCGAATAGATTTTTTGAATATTACTATCTGTTAAATATTGCATTTTGTTTTTAGGTGAGACATAATGAGACGCTTTGTATCATCATACTTGGAATATGGTCACTAAGTCTAATTCGATTTTCATTGGTGTTGACTGCCTCGAGATCTCGACAAGACTATACTGGTTTAGTTCCAATTGCACCAGACCCTGAAACGGGCTGTTGTTCTGCAGACGTTTATGGAATAATTATATCTATTCTTTTGCAAGACGCACCATTCCTCGTTCTTAGGATGTTATTAATATTTAGATATAATGTTCTAAGCTACACCAATATGTTCTTTACGTCTAAAAATACTATTGTGATAGTGCTACTTGTTTATAGATTGGTAGTGGTTCAAATCGAAAAACGTGCCGAACAGGATGTGGATTATAATAAATACCGGTTTCCTTATGATCCACGTGCAAAGCGAGGTCCAGATAGTGTATCACTCTCCAGCAGTAAAAGTAGTATTGCCAGCAAGCACAAACTTATAAACCAGAACCATGGTTTTTATGACACTCCTAGATCGTTACGATACAAATTAGACAATGATCAAGCCAAAAAGACGGTTTATCTACAAGAATTAAGTTCGCCTGTCTAAGATTATAAAAGATTAAACTAATTTTATGAAAGTTGCTTAAAGAACCCATATCTTGAGAAATGCGGTGAAGTAAGATTCGTATCTCTTATGCTGATAAATATAATAGCGACCCTATCATGTGAAGTGATGCATGGAGGCTAAAGTTTAAACTGGAATTTAAACTGGACCTAAATTATGTCTCTTTGAGAAATGTGTTTCTTTTTTTGAATTTTATCTATTATCGTGTCCCCGAAATAAATCGTAGTAGTTTTTCGGATAACCAACTACAAATTTTGAAATATTACTTGATGGTTTGTAGATTAGACCGAAACATCTGTTCTGTTCTAGCCTCTGATAGCTATTTGGACAGATGTCGCCTCGTGTAGCGACCCTGTTAAATGGGGACGTTCCGCATCTCCGCAGTTGTGGAGTTTTTAAAATATATTATGATACCTCGGATATGCAAAACTCAGATATGTTTGGAAAGATGAATATTTTTGTAGTTCAGTCATACCATAATTTTCTCCCTACACCATTGAGGTCATGTATCCGGTTCCATCAAATTATCTTTTTACCAAAACTTATCTCGCTTCCATTTAAATGCGTGCGTAGCTAATAGTTCAAAGGTCACAGAATCACGTGATACTAACAAATGCTCAACACTAATTTACAGTCATTGTACAGGTAAATTGATACTATGTTAGAAAAAACACATCTTCTGTGGGTGTGGAAAATCTCCATTTAACTATTTTTCTGACTCTACTCCAGCCGACAACTGTCAAGAACCAAGGCTGGAATAGAGGAACATGTTTCTTAGATAAGTCTTGTTTTAGATATTTTCACTACTAGTGCTTACTCTTTGTTTTCTCTTCTAGACCCATTGGGTAGGGTTTCAAATGATTACACACAGATCCGCTTGAAGTAAAGTGGATTTATAAAACGCCTTTAATTGATGACGGACGTGAGGTTGGTAAATCTCGGTGATTTCAATAGCAGAAAAATTCTTTCAAAATTTGTCGTAGACTGCAGGTTTACTACTAAGCATCATTTATTACTGTGAAACCGAAATAAAACCATTTTTTGTTTTCGATCATTACCGTGTAACTAGGGCATGAAGTCAGAGTCGTCTGATAGTTTTTGTTATTTTGTAACTTGTAAATTATATCGGAGTCACCCGATAGTTTTTGTTTAGAACCTTGTGAATTATGTCGGATTCACCAGATAGTGCTTGTTCTGAACCATGTAACTTTGTAACTTAAATCGGAGTCACCCGATAGTTTTTGTTCAGAAACTTGTAACTTGTAAATTATGCCTGAGTCACTTGATAGTTTTTGTTCAGAACCTTGTGAATTATGTCGGAGTCACTTGATAGTTTTTGTTCAGAACCTTGTGAATTAAGTCGGAGTCACTTGATAGTTTTTGTTCAGACCTTGTGAATTATGTCGGAGTCACTTGATAGTGTTTGTTCAGAACCTTGTGAATTATGTCGGAGTCACTTGATAGTTTTTGTTCAGAACCTTGTGAATTATGTCGGAGTCACTTGATAGTTTTTGTTCAGAACCTTGCGAATAATGTCGGGGTCACTTGATAGTTTTTTTTTCAGAACTTGTGAATTATGTCGGAGTCACTTAATAGTTTTTGTTCGGAACCTTGTGAATTATGTCGGAGGCACTTGATAGTTTTTGTTCAGAACCTTGTGAATTATGTTGGAGTCACTTGATAGTTTTTGTTCAGAACCTTGCGAATTATGTCGGAGTCACTTGATAGTTTTTGTTCAAAACCTTGCGAATAATGTCGGAGTCACTTGATAGTTTTTTTTTCCAGAACTTGTGAATTATGTCGGAGTCACTTGATAGTTTTTGTTCAGAACCTTGCGAATAATGTCGGAGTCACTTGATAGTTTTTTTTCAGAACTTGTGAATTAAGTCGGAGTTACTTGATAGTTTTTGTTCAGAACCTTGTGAATTATGTCGGAGTCACTTGATAGTGTTTGTTCAGAACCTTGTGAATTATGTCGGAGTCACTTGATAGTTTTTGTTCAGAACCTTGTGAACTATTTCGGAGTCACTTGATAGTTTTTGTTCAGAACCTTGTGAATTATTTTGGAGTCACTTGATAGTTTTTGTTCAGAACCTTGTGAACTATTTTGGAGTCACTTGATAGTTTTTGTTCAGAACCTTGTGAATTATGTCGGAGTCACTTGATAGTTTTTGTTCAGAACCTTGTGAATTATGTCGGAGTCACCCTAACTTTGAGTAACGTTTCACATGTACCCGGGACAGCAAACCAAAATATTGATCTGTGTCTTAGCATTCACCTTTTCGCATATAAAAATGGAATCTTAAGCAGTAATTGACACTAAATATGTAACATGGATAAGAAACTAAATGGAACTAATGCAATACCTCAAGATGAGAAGTATTATTGCCATGAACAGGGTTAAATCATATTCACCAACAGACTGATAAAGTATTGTTTGAATATGTGTATTTTTCGTTTAATTTATAACAATGGTTTGTTGAATGTGTCACCTACTCCTGAAGTATTCTAAATGATATGACTTTACTAATTAACAGTGGTCAACGAGGACTTCAAAATCATGTCATCACTCAAAATGTAATGAAAGAAAGCGAACATGTCAGCCAGTAGTAAATTTAAGTCCGAAGCGACTTCACAAACCATAAGAGATTGAAGACTTGAACAAGATTTAGAAATAAGTAGTACAAATCACAAACAATGTGCTTATTCCACGATATTATCTTGTGTTTATTTTTCTGCACTCTGGCTGATTATTTCATTTAAGATTTCTCACACCAGATTACGTACTAAGCGCACTATAAAACCATTATAGTTGGCTATTGTATTTTGTATGTACTTTACTTGAAACCAGTCCAAAATATAAAAAGTTTAATTAGTAAACAAGTTTATAAGAAATGATTCCATTATGGCATATGGTGTTTACTATCCTATTAATAGTCTTTCATCTCTATAATTAGTCTTCGTGTAAGAAATCTTTGACATTATGATCAAAACCTTGAGGTACGAAAAAAAGTTGGTGATTTTATTATTGAACAGAAATGTAAATTTGTTGAATATTAAATGACCCAGAACAGGATATGCTAAACAATATCGTCAGATCATGGATGAAAAATGGGGTCACCTGCAAAAACATGAATTGCATTTTAATCAGATCGATTAATTTCATTTATAAGAAAAATAACTTCGAAAAGAGCAAACGGTTAACCGTTGTCCAGAAGTAAACCTTGCCCACAAATTAGGCTGAAAAAATATCCGTAAATAATTTAGAATTAATGATATAAAAATGGATTTAATTTTTCATGTTAGGATATAAATATGGACTGTAAAAGGAAGCCAGGGTATATATGAAACGTTAAAACTTTAAAAGGTTGGCCAATAAATGTTGTTTCTGTCATATATCGCCTTGTTTCTTTATAAGGATGGTGGGAATGCCACGCGGTCTCCCTATATACTAAGCCATAAATAGAAACGCCCTGAATCTGTAACAGTCGTGGCAGGCGTGAATACCATCGTATATTAAGGTGCTTTTAAATTTCTGCTGACGGTGTTAGCTGGCGATTGCGCAGACGCGCGCATGCGCCGACATATTTACAAAACTCGTTTTTAGTCAAAAGATTTATAATTACACAAATGATAGAGATAGTCATAACAAACATCATAGGTCAGTGCTGTCGGTGTCCAATTTGTAATCATGAAACATGACACAGAACGTCTATATTTACTATCTCGGTCCAATGGTTCGCCAAGAGGCATTTTCTTTTTCATTTGGTCCTTGAAATCTGACCGAGTTGTGATATAAAACACTTAATTAATGTTTGAAGCTCACTGATCACTCTCTCATCTTAATTTACATGTCTGTCGAACCAATCCGATTGACTCCCTTGTCTGTGTTGTCTACAAGCTTCTTTTGATTGGTTGAAACATTGGCGAATGCGAATTCGCGTCGTAAAAGTTCCACTCTGGAAAATGGTACGCCGACTTGCGCCGTTATACTGAGACTACTCACGGACATGGATAGTATAAACCTATGCGCTGAGGAACGCTGGCAACACCCGACCGCGAGCGTGTACTAGCGTTTTACGGCGGTTGACGGCGTCCAAAGTGTAAATCCACCTTAAGAGACTTTTTGTGCGTTTTCCTCACGATTGTCGGAAACGACTTCGACAGACAATATGAAATACCTAGAATTGCCAGTGGACCCTTCAGATTGTAGTTTTTTCATTTCATTGGATCTCTCAAAATCTGGCTTTGGCCATGGAATAGATATTAAGCCAGTCACTGTATTATCACCAGTTTCTATAAACATCTTAGAATTTTAGTCTTTCGAAAACGGTTCGATGCAGGGATGAAAGACTTGTGGTCTGTTGTCTATGTGAAGAGTTATGTCCCTTATACCTAGTCGCATCATCTATCCCGCAGAAAAATGACAAATTGTTATGATGCTAATCTGATGTTGATGTAGCACAAACTATTAGTCTGCTGTTTTGATGTTGTTTTATTTTTTTCGCTGTTGTTTCTTGGTTGATAGTGTTTGGAATTTCGATCGATGTTTCAGCTGGTGTTCAAATATATCAGAACTATTTCTCACATAATTCCCAGTTAAGCCTTATGTCAAGCTGTAGCTGTTTTGTTGTTTTTCATGTTTTTTGCTGTTGTTTCTGGCTTCTGTTTTTGAATTGATATTTAAACTAATCTTAAACAAACACAGAAAGATGTTGTTCACATATTTCAAAACTATCTTGCTCCCATCTTAA